CCCAGGTTAACTTTCCACTGTGAGCTCGAGGCCTGTCTTACGAGTAGGTCTTTTGGGTGGACCAACAAGCGCTCGAGTGCCAGCCTATTTATTGTTTCTAACCGCGTCCACCTATCCGGAGATCGAGCGCACCCACACACCAGCAACGGCTCGGACCGCAGAAACCTGGATACTAACCATCCGTTTACGTCCACCTTGTTCTACGCTCGGTGCTCAACCAGCCATCTTTTCGGGCTGAAGTTCACAGGCACAGTTCGACTGTCCTCGGACGCATTTCTACGAGCCCATGGGGCGAGGTACACAAACAGGGTCTCATGCGTATGACGACGACTCGTTGACGAGCCCATCGTAAGTAATGCCAGGTTGCTGCCAGCGTCTCACATCATCCCACATTGTACCTTGGGTTGCTTTGAAGACATTCATTTAATAGAGTATTGGCACAAGTTTGGTATTGACTTCTTTGTTGACGTTCTCCCCCACTCCCCTATCTTCCAATCAATAAGTATTCTTTCACCCCAGCCCCGATCCCGGGTCACACTCTCACTCAACTCTCACTCGTAAATGTTCAGCGAGTTGAACTCGAAGTAAGCGTTCGTGAAGGCGGAAGGATTCGCGTTGACGTAGTCTTGTGAAAAACATCGTCATCAGCACACCCCAACAAACGGGATCACAACAACAAATGACTCACTAACGCAAGTCGAAGGGCAGCCAGATGCGGCGTAAACGGCGCTGTTCCCGGCCCAGTCACCGCCTGTAAAGCCGGCACGTCAACATCACTGCGTTCACTTAGATCGAGGGAGACATACAGAAGGTCAAGTTGATGACAATGTTGTGAGGACCAAAGTGGGTCGCAAAGTTGCAGTCGGTGCTCGGGAAGTACGCAGCGGGCGTTCCCTGTACAAAATATCACAGATAACTGAGTTATCACGACTCCAAGGATTGATTGATGGGGGTGACGTACCCAGGTACTCGTGTTGATGGTAGAACCAGGGGTCTTGACTTCACTGGGCACTGAGGTGCTGCCCCGCTCCCAGAAGTAGATAGAAATGTAAGTCCCGGTTCTCTCGATAGCGTACCTGCAATGTGGTATCAGCGCGAAGACAATTTAGTTGTGAGAACGTATGCACCATCCTCCGCCTTTACCATTGAAGTTCGGGCCGTAGCTGTTAGTGTCCGCAAGGGCAACGCCGCACCCGGAGTTGTTCGTCTCGTTCACATCACAATTGTCGCCCTCGTCGGTCCTAAACATGCCGGTTAACATCGTAAGTGAAACTATTTGCGCGAGGCGACGAGGACGCGAGCGTACCCGGTCATTGCGCGGCCGGTAGGCATGGTGCAATCTGGAGAGCGGGTAAGTGGGAATGCAAAAGGGCGCATGATGGACCAACGCACTGGCACTCGTGTGCAAAGTCGATTGGTTTGGGGTTTGGTTGTTGACACCTTCGAGGATGTCGACTTCTCCCTACGTACAGTGTTGACGCTCAGCATTCAACAAAAAAAGGGGGCACGACATACCTCATTTGGCCAGTTAGCACCAACTTCCTGCATGAGGCGTCATTGTTTCTGTCAGACTCGGAATAGACTGGATAGCAGCGGAGACATCTTACCCTGTTAACAAGAAAGGCACGCATCGCGAATAATCATTAGCAACGAGATCGATGAACGAATGTAAAGCAAGACAGACCCTGACTTGCTCGTCAGTTCTGCATGATTGTTAGACAGGACGGATGTTACTCACAGACTGCAGGCCACGTTCCGCATCCCTGAGGCATATGCTCGATATCGAAGCTGGAGCCGACTCGTAAATCAGTCCATCAACTCCCGAGAAAGAGGGAAGGTGTAGGACTAACATAGCGACATGGGTAGTGTACGTAGCGCTGGACTGGATTCTGAACGAGTTCCTCCCGGGGCCAGACGCGCTCAGCGTAGTCGTGCTGTCCGCACGGAGTGTCACGCTGTTCGATGTGACTGACACCAAGCCATCGGCCTGGGCCGTCGCTTCGGTGACATAGTTACTAAAGAGCGAGTTGGAGTGAGCTGCGTGGATGAACAGTTAAGGAGCACGTACACGCGACCATTAGTGGGGTCCGCGATGGCTTGCCAGGTGAACGCGTTGAGGAAACTCTGCCCGACGAGGTTCTCGGTCCTGGAGTAGGTCGCGCCGCCGAGCGCGACATCAACCACCGACGCGAGTACAAGGGCACCGAGGGAGAGCGAGAACTTCATCTTGCTGGGTCACAGAGGATGCGGGATATCTGCGTGTTAGTTGACCATCGAACATGGGATTTTTATACCAGAGGGACAGCACACTCACATGAGCGCCCCAGGGTTTCACATGTGGTCATCTGGCGAACTTTGCCAGCGAAGCATTGTCGCATTCAGTACCGGGAGACTCGGATAGTTGAAGATTCGGCGCGGGCTTGAGAGCGTACGTTGCGAGAATAGGCTCATGTGAACGAACAATTGATCGTCTAACCGTGCCGGGGATGGCCAGCACATACGGCGAATTCGAATTGCAGCGGGTCCTTGCCAGCGGGCCAGGACTCATCTGTCTAAGTCATGTTTGTCGTTCACGGAGCGAAAGCCTCGGGAGTAATGTCATTAAGGAATGCAGGAGTTGTAGTCACACGGAAGGCAGACGCTCAACAACATCAGAATACCTTGGGGGGTTTGTTTAGCGATCTCTATACGCGTCGATGACGTTCAGAATAACTCATTAGTGTACCTTCGCTATAATTGCGAGACAAACCCACAAGGAACATGTCAAGCACGCGGAGAACGTTGAGCATGGGGAAGTCTTGGCGAATCGACGAGTTTATCGAGGGCGGCGAAACAACAATGATCAACTAAAACGGAAGCTCCGAGTCCACGACCAAGCTTCGAAGACATCCGGCTTTGGATAGGTCTGAAAAGACCGTTTCGTGGCAATGCACATGATCAACCCGGTGATGTCCACCTGTCCGACATGAGTATGCCAGAGCAATGGATCGAGAGGGGGACGACATACCTAGCACCGAGACAGCACATCCGCCAAGCGCCTTGCTTCGGGAGGAATGTCCGGAAGGACGATCCGACCTCGGCGTCTTTCTACCACCAACACGGAAGCGCACTCGTCGACGCCAGAACATCCTGGCAAGTATATCCTCGCTATAATTACGAAAAGAGCTCACGAACGAGAATGAACGCTGAGAATGTGAAGTGGATCGAGAGTAAGGAATTTTGATATCGACAATGTCGAATCATGCTAGCGCTAAATTAACAGACATAGCAGCTTTGGAAGGATCTGATATGAGAGAAAGAGGTTGTATCGTGGCATGGAGCAGCTGATCAGGACTGCCCGTCTGACACGAGTGCGTAACTGAGGTATGGAAGCACTCACACACTCCAAGAACTATCCAAGACCTGACTTCGAAAGGAATATCCGGAAGGACGCTCCGAACTCGGAACCATTCCAAGCCAATGAATGGAGTCGGAAGCGTATTTGTCGAGACGCGTAAGTTTGCCAGCGAAGATTGCTTTAAGAATGGGCCATCGGGAACATCTTCGATGAGTGTGAACCAGTGGCCGCAACTGAACCCGAATGACTGAGATTTAGACTTTTGTTCACGAGAACTTTTAATTATCAATGTCTGTACTGGCAGGGACGGACCATTGGCTATTGCCCTTGGGATTCATGTGCGTTGGCATGGGATAAGACCTTCGAGTCACCAGTCTGGGGCTCGGGCTAGCGAATCGACCTTGCGAGCAATCCGGTCGCCTAAATTGCAAGATGTGTCGTTAAGCAAATTTGAATACTTGAGCCTCGAAGCTCAGCGCTCGACAGTGCAATTGCACCGAATGATTAGTTGACGACTCGAGCACTACGGAGAGTACTAGCAGTGTCCCTCTATGGCTGGGAGGCTTGACTCGGCAAAGGCCGCCATGGACAACAGAGCCAAACAAGCCTCGGTCGCAATGCGCACACGGGATGTACTTTTCCTTCGAGGCTTCGAGCTGTAACTTCAGTGCATCAATTTTATTCGCGAATCGCTACCGACATCGAGCTCTCGGATTAATATATAGGAACTGACAAAACTTACATCTATTGATAGCGGCTTGATTTGGACTTTTATCTATTGGTCAATTCCAATGTTGACGCGTTGATGATTGGCAGATCGCCCGCAGAAGGTGTCCTTGTGCTCAGAACCCTAACAATTATTCCCCAACAGCTTCACTGAGGGTAATCTGGGTGACCACTGGTTCTTTGCTATTGGGGTAAGGTTTAACTCATAATGTAAGTACTCTTCCCTCTTCGATCATCTACTCACAAGTTTACACTGGGATCTTCCCTTACTTTCCGCCTTAGAAACGTTTCGTAGCATCGAGTGTGCCCACTGCTTTGCTGTTTGACGCACCGCCGTCAACTAGTTCTTACAATTACGCGTCTATGCGCTATTTGAGATTTCGTTGTAAACGCGGCGGAAGGACTGGAGGCCCCTCAGTCAATCGTAGTTTTGGACGCGCGATGATCGCCTTAGCGCCAAAACCAGCATCCAGTTGTCCACATCAAGTTCTAGCAAATGCAAAGCATACTTTCCGTCACCATCTATGGGCCCGGTACCTATCCGCAGCAAATGCGTTGATTGTCTGGTCATCGAAACCCCTCAGATTGCGCCCTCCAGCATAGGAAGACGACACGAGGCTGCAGGCGCCCACCTATATAGCTGCTCCCTCTATTTGCTATCTTCGACGGATTCTCCCATTCTGTCGGTGCTAGCTATTGTCGTCTCGTCTGCAACGATGTCTACAGGCGTGTGCTTTCAGTATGCCCGGAATGGGACGTGTAGCTACGGAACTCGTTGCAAATTTCCGCACGTCCTCAACGCCCCCGTACCCGCGAGAGGCCTGGTACTGTGCAAGTTTCGGTCCTTATGTGACTCGCTAACACTTGTCGTTGATTAGGGAAACGGTACACGCGACAAGAAAAGATCTCAGGCCACACAGAGTAGAGTCGTCGATGTATCGTCCTCGACCCCTCTTGAAGATTTCTTTGCTCAATATCCCTCATACGATTATGATTCATCTAACTCCGCGTCGCACGAGTTCTATGATTTGTGCGACTGGATGCAGTGGGAGGAGAATGATGCTGTTCGGAGGAATGCCCATAATGCCTTCAAAGACGCTCTCGTCATGCAATTCAACCAGATATACGGAACAGATGAAAACGATATAGCCGCCTGGCGCGATCTTTGTCAGGTCGTGGGGATTTCGCCAATCCCGGATGACCTCGAAAGTTGTCGACAGGTATGGAGTGTTCCTTACTTGACACGAGGACGATCAATCGATGATATAATTGTGCGTTCAGAAAGTGAAAAATACCCATGTGAATATCGTCGATTTGGTTGATACGAAGGGCTCTGGAGAGATGGTGGAGTCGTTCAGGTCTGAGATGAAGCTCAGTGAGTACACGAAGGCGGAGGGGAAGTTTTTCCCGAGGGAGAACGCCTACGCCGGTGGCTTGCTCAAGTTTCTCCTTCGCCAAATCATGTCCCCACCGCCGGAGCATTCCAGCTCGAGGCACAGGGCCAACCGGCGTAGGTAGTAAATCAGGTGGGGACGATGCCTGCAGCCCATAGTCACATTTGTGTGGAGCCGACTGTGTATAACATCTTGTACTTCACTTTTTATCGTACTAGTAGGCAACGCGAACTTGCTGGACGTCGACTCGGAACTCTGGGAGAACAGTACACGCTCAGTTTTGAAACCTACTCCGCTACTAGTACATCCAACTTTGCGAGCATGTCTCAGCCACTCGATGTCCCCCTCACCCGTATTAGTATAGCCCAGAGAGGCGCGCAAAGTATGGGAATAACTCTGGACCAACCGGTGAGCTCTGTACTAGGAAAACTATTGACAGCCCCTCCTTCGTCCATGCTCAAGTTGCTGCTTTCCCGACTGGCTGGACCGAACTCGTGTTGACAAGGACTGAATGGTTCATCGCAGGAAACCGCTGGACTCTGGCTTTATGCCAGTGCCGCAGTTAATAATTTGCGAATGCTACATTAATGCGGATCTCGATCGCTCTCTTGGTTCAGCGTAGCGAATCCCAGCCGTATAAACCGCGACGCTATGTTATTTGTAGGCGAGGCACTCAAGGCTACGCCGTGTCATCGAGTCCCAGGTACACATTCCAGAGGGGCGCCATGAGGCGACTGGAAACACGGGTCCGTTATGTATCGGGCTAGTAGTCCTCGCCCCTTGTGAGTCCCTCTTGTCGACACCATACAAAATGTTCCCCCATGCATACGCAACGCTGAACAGCGTTCGAGGAAATTGGCTGCAGTGGCGTGAGTACACTCCATGAGGGATGGGCGGCATTATGCACGCAACCACGAAGTTGACGCTGTGACATCCCCTCTAGGGCACGTTATCACAAGTCGCAGCATCACGAGAATTAATCCACAGAGTAGATTATTTTTGTGTCGTCACCAAACGACAGGCCTGCTATTGCAGTCCGCGAAGGCGCCTCTGGACTGTTTCTCTTCGAGGACACAGGTATGGACTTGCCCTTTAAGACGAGAACTGACGCGAAGGAATGCACTAAAGGAGCAATCAAAAGTCGGCCACGGATGGAATAACATCCGTGCTGGAATGCATTCAGGCGCTTCTCCCGACAGCACACGGCACAAGAAACAGGTATGAGCCCACCGTGTATGAGTCAAGGATCAACGCAAATGATCAAACAGGGAGGCCCGGGAGCCTCCAGCAATAACCGTGACAAGGCGAAGAGTGGACGCCGAGAAAATCAGTCAAAGGCAACGCCCCCCGACGAGCCCAAACGCCCACGCCCCGCAAGGGAAGTGCGCGAGATCAACCCGAAACGCACCAAGAAAATACCGCCGACGCAACAACACCCGGCAGTGGACAGTGGAGTACAGAAAGAGGTGGCAAAAGATGACATGACGGCGGTGACAAAGGAAGCGGTGCTGGAAGATGAGGTGAGGGTGTACTCAGACGGGTCAGGAATAGACGGCGGGATCGGGGCGGCAGCGGTGTTGATAAGGGACGGGCGGATAGAAAGAGTGCTGAAGCTCCATCTGGGGAGCATCGAGAAGTATACAGTATACGAGGCAGAGCTGGCGGGGCTGGTGCTAGCGGCGGAACTGATTCGAACAGAGGAGAAACGAGTACGCTCAGCGGTGATATACTCGGACAACCAAGCCGCAGTTCAAGCCGCCACCAACCCACGCCCAGGCCCACGCCACCACATCATCGATTCCCTTTTTGAGGAACTTACACGTGCCAAAAAGAAACACGGCTTAAAGAAAATCGCAATCATACGGATACCTGGGCACACTGGCATCGAAGGGAACGAAAGAGCAGATGTTCTAGCAAAGGAAGCAGCCAGGGGATCCTCGAGCCCAATCAAACGCCTTCCCTCATCGCTACGAACATGCGACATGTACACAAAAACCCTTCCCTCCGAGTCCCGGCTAGTCTCCCGTAGGCGGACAAAAGATTCGAAGGAAGACAGTCGTTCCTTCTCAACAAGGAGTCCCCACCGGAATGCGTCCATCCTATTCCAACTACGCTCCGATCATGCGCTGCTAAACAAACATCTCTTCAGAATCAAGGGCAAAGCTAACAAACCAAAATCACCGCTCTGCACAGCGTGTACAATACGACTCGGGGGAAACAGTATATTACTTCCTCTCTTCAATACATTGCAAGCACAGAATATTTCAAAACCAACTACGGCGACTTGACACTCCCTGCGAGACGATGATAAACCCCACAGAATGTGAACACCGACCACTCATCTAAACCCACGCATAGGGCGCCCCCGCCACACTCGCGACGCCTTATTCTGATTCTTAGGGGGGGAGTTACAACACCTTCATCGGCCTCACCCGTTTCTTACCTCCAGTCGAGAAATCATCGCAGAGATGGTACCAGATATTCATATAATTAGTCTAGTACATACGCCGCGTGGATAGTCTCGAGGTTTGCCGACAGGTGCGATACTCAAATGCCTTGAGGCGCTGATCTCTTTCTAAGGCTGTTCGGAGCTCACATGTAAATACAATCGACATAAACGACTATCCGAGGACCGGCCAGCCAGCACACAGACTCTCCCATCCGCAAGAGTTGGCAATCTACACAGAAAATTGTCACATATACTTCCCAAGGAAGAATGCATACCGAGGGGATCTATTAAAGGGGCTTTGCGCGAATTGACGGGAAGATACAGACGGTACCGAAGGCTGCGGATACGGATCAGTTTCGTCGCGTGACACTCCGTTTCTACTCGGTGGGGGCACAAATCCTCAGAAGACGGGACTCTAGTCATGCCCATGACCAGCGCTGCTGCCTCCTGAATTTCCACTCATCTGGCATTATACATCTCGGCGTCGATGGGATGCGACCCCTGTTTTTTCTTTGACCTGTGTATCGGTGGCCTTTGTATCTTACATTGACTTATACCCTTTACAGATGGACCACCCCCTTAAAATTGACAGATTTGTGGTGGTCATAGTGTAATTGATAATGTACATCAAGAAGCCATAGTTTTATTCTCATCAGTGGCTACAAGGCGGTGGGATACGGCGACGTGCCCAAGGCCCTACCTCTGGCATTCAAACTTCACGTCTTGATGATATGTTCAATGACTTCTTGTGCAGCCAACGCCAATCCATCATTGAACCGGCGAGCAACTACCTGAAGTGATATAGGCGCCCCAACAAAAATATCAGGATCATCTGTGGTATTAATATTGGATGATCAGGGATTCTGAAATCACGAGCATGGTGGGCAACGTACAGAGGGAGTGATTGTACTCATCCGTCGGGCTCATTGGGCTAGCCATCTCTCTGACAACATCGACTGACGGGTCAACCTTTAGCCCTGTAGGGAACACGACGCCGGGGTAGTCGAGTAAATTCCATATAGCCGTGTACCTACCATGGCCGTCTGAGCAAATGTATGTAATCTGGAAGAAGTAAACATACCCCCAGTACTTAGCTGTATCGTGGCGGCTTGCGGTCCCGTGGAATGGTGGGCACAACAGAACGTCACAGCCTTGCTGACGCCAGTGGTCAGAATACGCACGACGATATGTGTTGCGCTTGGCGTGCAACTAGATAAAAAGCGAATTAAGCAATACTGAGGTCGATGTGAGTATCCGAATCACGTACCGCCCACATCGCGAGCGCATCGTGGTCTTGGACATGAGGCGGAGAAGTAACCCACTCGGAGAGTGGAAGCATATCTTCCCCACCCTCCTTTAGCAGCCGCCGAACGGTCCTGGCGCCATCCTCGAAGTACATTGGACGCTACGAGGGACATTCAAGCACACGAGGGAGAAGGGGGGTAAATGTTAACGCACGATAATGCTATACCCTTCTTCGTGTTTATAAGGCTCGTAGTTAATGACTTCGATGTTTGGCGCAGCTTCAAGTTTGGATTTGGCAAGCTCAAGGGCACGCAGTATGGGTGGGTGGGGCATCACCACATTATCGTGCATCATGATGCCTACGCGAAGCGTCTTCTTGCTGAGGTCCGGGATCGTCAAAGGTAGAGGCATCAGAGAGGGGTCGATGATATGAGGTCGAGCGCCGAGGACAGCTTGCAGAAAGAGCCGCAAATCGCGCGAGGAACTACACATCGGCCCAGTTGATGTGACATAGCCATCGTGGCCTTTCTGGCTAGTTGATGGGCGGTATGTTAACTTTCAACTTCATCAAACGTGCATAGAACTTACTATGCGAGGTAACCAAAAGTTGGCATCCTTTTGCAGGATGGGCGTATCCCGTAGAGACCACAGTGAGCGCAAGGCACACGAATCGATCCACCGCCATCCCTGAATATCACCGCCGGTCGAGTTCAAACGGATTTATGGCAAGGGGACGATCTGAACGTACGTTCCGACACCCATGCAAGACCCCTTCATTGCGATCAAGGCTGACTCTCCGCCAGAAGATCCGCCAGGGGTGAGGTTCGAGTTGTGCGGGTTAAGCTGCACAAGAAGAATGTTTCGGTGACAGACTGAGTACACCGTAAGAGCCACTAACCGTGCGGCCGTATGAGGACTGTGTTTCAAGATGCTGAAGCGTCTGAGGCTGGTTCGTCTTGACATAAAAGACTGAGGTACTCTTGAGATCTCCATCAGAATTTGTGCAGGAAGGAATTTCGTACCAGCTCCCAGACTTCGCAAGGTCCGCGTCATGTCGCAATCATCAAGAGAGCGCTCGACATTGGCCAGAAAGCCAGCAGAACCCCAACGCCCTTTGATAGGGATGTGCTCCTATGCACATATGATTAGATGTGTGTCAATAACCGGGGAGTTGTCGTACCTTGATCGAGATAGGCAGCCCATGAAGTGGCCCGATCACTTTCCCCTCGCGCCGATAGAACTCATCCAACGCTTTTGCCTGCTCAATCCCCTCGTCCAAGAAAAAGTCCGTAACGCACGCAGTGACCTGGTGTGCGATTGCAGCGCGCTTCCCAAATGCTGTGACCGCGTCGACAGCTGTAAGTTGTCCCTTCGCGATCCTCTCGCAAACTGCAGTTGCATCGAGTTCTGTAATGGCGAGTTCTGCAGGAGTGAGAAGCCCGCAAGATGCAGGGATGCCTGTTACGTCGAGAGGAAGGTGGTCGAGGATGGCAGGGTCAAGACGCAGGGAAGGCGGAATTTGTGCCTCGAGACGGTCCTTGAGGGCTTGAGCTTTAGCGGTATAGGTC